TGCTTAATCGTATTAATGATTTCTAAATAAAACAATCATAATTATTAAAGCCAGGAATGAAAGAATGGGGGCTTGCTTAATTGCTTTAAAATGGATATTGCTGAGTGTCTTTGCTTACTACTGTGCAAATTAACTGAAACAAGTGATTAAGGAGGCAATGGGGAGGCAAGGACAATCCCCAGACAAGGACTGTATATCTCGAAACAAGACACTGGAACTCATGATAAGGAAGCAGCAGACGGACAGAGAAACAAATGTAAGGACTATAAATCTCAAAACTGGACATTGGAATTCATTATAAAGATACAACAAACGGAAGAATTAGCAACAACCAGCACTTGCAATTAAGAAACATGCCAACTCAGCAGATTCCTGACCAAAGGTGAAAAGTACACTGTAAGGAAGACTCGGGGTCTTCCTCCCAAAGACCCCTGCCCACGTCCCAAAGACCCCTGCCCACAATTCTTGGGAGGCTCTACGCAGGCGCAAGGTGCCAAAAGGCTAATTAGCATGAGAAGCGAGGGAAGGCTGGGATAGGTAATGCATATGTATAGGCGCTTCTAGAATATGGATAGATTGATTGTATAAATTCAAGACTGCTTTCCGCTTTGGGTATGCACGATAGGTGGAGAGATCCCCCGTGCATCCAGCGCTGCAATAAAGAATATACCACTTAAAGGAATTTTGGCTTCGATCTTTGAATCAGGGCGCAGGATTGCATCCCTCTCCTGCCTCAGCCTCCTGATGGGCTGTCATGGCATCTGCCCTGCTCCCATCCTCCAAAGGATGGTGTTTCGCCCTCCCTCACACAAGGAACATCGATTTGGCTCTGCCACTCGATGGGTGGTGGCCAGGGACTGCCCTATGCTGGGCCAGTCTCGGGCCCTGAGGTAATTTCTGTCGGGAAGGAGGGCACTATTTTTTCTCAGCTCCCACCCGTTCCCATGCGCGGAAGGTTACAGAGACGAGCGAAGTACCGTTCGCGTCACAAATCCAGTGCGCCTGCGCGTCACGCAAACGCTGTTGCGCCGTTCCGGTCAACCTCTCCTAGCGGGTACATCGAGTGAAAAGTGACAAGGAACGAAGCCAATGAGCGGCGTCACACCGCCAGAGGGGCCGAGTCTCGCGCCCTCTCACCCCTCCCCATCTCCCGTTCTCTCCCTGCTTTTGCCCCCCCGCCCTTCCTTTGATTCGCTTTCTCGACTCGCCAATCGCTCGCGGGAAGGGGGTAGGGGGTGGGGTCTTTCCACCGCCCCCCAATCTCCTCTCCCTTTTCCCTTGAACGACGTACTTGCGGGCCATCGCGCCGCCTCCTCTCCCAGCCGCTGGGGTGGGCAGGCCGAGGCTGCGACCATTGGGGGCGGGCGGATCGAGGCTACGACCAATGGGAGCAGGGGGGCGGTGCTGAGGGAGGAGGGTGGTCGCGCAGCCAGCCGGGGAGTAGGAGGTTAGGCCTGGGTTCGTCATGGGGGGTTGGAGCTGCTGGGGTTTCCGCTTTGTTGCGGTGTGAGGGGATCGGGTAGGGCCTTACTTCCTGGCCTGGGGGTTTTCTACCTCCCCGGCGTGGAGCTGAGCTGGGTCCGCGGGGAGCCGGGAGGGGAGCGCGGGGAGCCCCTACAGCGGGGCAGTGGCGTGCTGCTGCGGGGGTGGAACGGGGAGGGGAGCCGGGTGCTGTCCTGCGGGCTCCGGGTGGTAAAAGGGGAAAAAATCGGGTGTGTAAGGAGCCCTTGCCAGCTGGGGGCCCGGCTAGTGGCTGGTTTGAGGCTTCTCGGCCGCTCGTCGCGGTGCTTGGCTGCCAAAAGCCCTGTGTGTTCTGCTCACCTTAACGCACCAACGGGTGGGCTGGAGGAAAAGTTCTCGCCGGGTTTTCCAAACGGGGGTCTCTGGAAGTGCTTCAGCCTGTTGTTGTTGCATGTCGGGCTCCTGTTATCGTGGTCAGAGACGCGTGAGATTCCATCGATAGCAAGGAGGTGGTAATGACAGCTTATTAGGAAGGAGGCTACACATAACTTGCAGGTTTGGCTGTTTGCAGGTGTGATACTTTTTGCCCGGAGAGCTGTGCTTTCAAACTATTTTGTGGTGTTACATCTATGAGGCTGACCTCTGTAATGAGAGGCTGATTAGGCTTTGTTCTGCTCTCTAGACTGAGGAAAAAAACTTAAGGCTTTTTTTTTTTTTTAACAAACAAGGTTACTGTTTAGACTTTCTTATGCTTTATCATAGTGTTAGAGCTTCACTTGTGTGGTATATGAGTCAATCTTTTGCCATGTTTATTCAAAGGGATAGCTTTAAAATGTAAGGGTTTGCAAACTCCTGTGACTTAAAGGGGAATGAGAATGTAACTAAATGGGGGTGGCTGAAGTTGCCAGACTCTCCCCACCCTGCTTCATTTGCTTAGCACTGTCATGATAAAAGATAGCGTTAACTGTAAATCCCCTTGAAAAAGAGGAAAGGGGAGGTTCTTAGTTGAGGTGGCTTAAGCTTCGCTTAAGTGTGTTCTTTGGGTTATCTTCGTTGGGATGTTTCCTATTAAGATATTTAATGGGATAACTTGGTAGTTGTGTGGTTTGGACTTGGACTACGCCAACAGTTGTTAAAATGAGCAAGAGGGAGGATTCAGTTCTCTTTATGGAGGAATCTGGTCATGGGTAGTATAATCTTGGAGAATAGTTAGTCAGCTTTCCTGAGATTCTGTTTGACCATAATAATAATAAAAAACACAATTGAAAAAAATGAGCTTAAAAAAAAAACCCAACACATTGGTCTCTTAACTGATCTTTTTTTTTTCCTTCCACCTAGAAGCTAGGTGTGTGAGCAAAATCAAATGAGCTTGAGTTGCACAGGGAATCTCCAAATGAAAGGCCCTCCTAGGTGTTCTTACTTGATCCTGTTCTACTTGATCTTTCAGAAGTGTTGAGCACCAGTTGATATAATTGAGTTCATTGGAGCTTAAAAATCTGTGCTAGTGAACGCAAATTTAAAAAACAAAACTTTTTTCCATTTCTGATCCCTTTCCCAGAAAAGTACTGGGAGAACAGACTTTGTAGTAGGTTCTGGATAGCAATGAATCCAAGCTCTGTTTGAGACTGAAGAAAATTCCTAGGTCTTGATTATATAAAGAACAGTGTGCAGAATTTTAATTATTATTAAAGGTATTCTGGAGTTTTCAAATGTATTCAGCACTGCCTTAATGACTGCATGTAAATGCCCTGTAATTGAAAGCATCCGTTTATGGGCCTACCTTGTTAAGTGAGCTGTAAATTCTGCTTTTCAGATTGTGGCTTAATGATAAAAGTCATTCACTTGTGAATTCATTCATGTGAAAAGTCATTCATGTGAATTGTACTGAGAGGCAAACAATACCTAAGCTTACTTTGCCAAAATACTTGTAATTTTTGATTTGTTAAACAGAATTGCTGCAGGTCATGCAATGGGATTATTTATTTATTTATTTATTAAACCGAATGGAGAGCACAGGCAGACCTGTGCTCAGTGCTCTGGGCTAGAAGAAATTGGCCACTGCAAAAATTCTTACTAAACGATGCTTTCAACTTCCAGTAGAGTAACCGTCTTACAAAGAGAAAGGTATTGTTCCAGATGACTTTTTATTGTCATTGTGTGTTTGACAGCCATAGTGTGAAGTAAGACCAAGAAAGAGACTGCAAGAGCAGCTCCCGGATCTCCTATCAGCGTAGTCTAGGGCTTGAGTTTGATTAAATTAAGCTGGAGTGAGATGAGCATAATGTAAGACACTTCAGTGTGCAGTGGACATGAAGGGGAGCCTGGCCTGTTGGAGAAACACTTGTTGATGTTAGGCTGGTTTGGAAAGTCAGCTTGCATTAGTTAATTACTAAATGTGCTTGTGTATTGTTTAATGGAGGGGGGAACGTGCTAAGATATATGGCTAGAAGCTGAACCAGGTACCTGCTTTTTGGTTTGGGGGCTACCTGTCAGCTTTACCCCAGCAGTATATACTTTCCAAAATAATGAAACTGACCTTTGTTGCACCTGGGTAATTTTAATCAAAGCAAATAAGGTGAGAAGAGGTTAAACTACTGTGGTTTGGAATGTTCCTTTTGGTGCTTTTGTGGCACTACTGAGGTTTTCCAGTTTTGAGGAGCAATGCTGTGAGTTCATAACTAGGAAGGATGTGGAAAACGTTTGCTGCTTTGCAGGGACAAGTGAATTGGCTGACTGTAGTTCTGGCAATATTCCTCTCAGGTAATTCTAGGAGAGTTGCTAAAATATGTTAGTCCTATTAGTTTAATTCAAAGTCAGTGAAGTTAGCATCTCAGCTAGTTATATGCAATTGTAGTGTGTTATGTGAATGCATGTGTTGCTTCCAATGTGCTAATTTTCTAATAGCAGTAAAGCTTTTTGTTATCTTATCTGGCTGTAGCTTGCAGTAGTCCTTAGTAATCGAAGACAACTTTCAGGAGCTAAATTTTTCTATCATTTTGGTGCTTGCTGTGGTTTAACCTGGCTGGCAGCTAAGCTCCACACAGCTGTTTGCTCACTCTCTCCCCTCCCTCTTTAGGATGGGGGAGAGAATCAGGAAAATGGAGCCTGTGGGTTGAGATTAAGACAGGAAAAAAAAAGATGGTAATAGTACTCTTACTAATAATGTGTATGAAACAAGTGATGCACAACGCAATTGCTCACCACCTGCTGACCGATGCCCAGCCTAACCCTGAGCAGCTGCCACCCCTGTCTGTTGTTCAGCATGACATCAGATGGGATGGAATACCCCTTTGGCCAGTTTGGGTCAGCTGTCCTGGGTCTGTCCCCTCCCAGCTCCTGCTGCACCCCCAGCCTGCCCATTGGCAGAACAGAGTGAGAAGCTGAAAGGTCCTTAGCTTGGTGTAAGCACTGCTCTGCAACAATTAAAACATCAGCATGTTATCAGCACTCTTCTCATCCTAAGCCAAAACATAGCACCCCACCAGCTACTAGGAGGAAAACTAACTCTGCCCGAACTGAAACCAGGACAGTGCTTATTTTAGTTTTGCATATGAGAAACAAGAATTTTATTGTTTGATTCATAATCAAACTTTATGAAATGAGTAAAAGGAAAAAGTCTACTTTGAAAGTAATTCTCTCCTTAATGAGCTATATAAAGACAAAAGTTCTACAGAGTTTCAAGATGCATTGCAATACTAGACCATAAGAAACTTAAAAATTAATGTGCAAATTGAGGCTGTAGATTGGCACATCGCAAAATCCTAATTCTGAAGCTGTCCTGAAGGGAGAATTTCCTTTGCTGCTGCCACAAACAGCCTGTCTTGAACTTCAATTCTTGTCAATTCTGAACCTGGACCTTGGTTTTGCTTTTGGGAGCCCGGGCCATCTCGAGCCCCTCTGGAGGGAGTACTCTGGAGCCACTCTCCCCTGCTGGCCTAATTGGCTGGGAAGCTTGGCTGGGGGGTGGATCTGGGGGACAATGCTCAGCAGGGCTGCATTCCCCTTTCCCCAGCTCTCTGCCCGTACCGAGGCAAAAAAAAACCTCAATGCCCAACAGCTGGGAAGGAAGTACTTAAAGCTGTCCCACTCTGGCCTGAATACAGGGAGAGAAGCTTGTGTGTTGTCTAACTTCCATGTGTGGTTTTTCTTTGGAAATGTATGTATGCACAGCAGGCTCAAGCCTCTCCAGTATGATGAAACCAGGTGTCTTTAATACATGTTTGAGGGAGAAGAAGAAGGCATGAGCCCCCTGGAGTCTCAAAAGGCAGGTTTTGTAGGGGTTGTGGGTATAGTGGCAGCAGTAAAGTGTCTTCTCCTGTCTGTTTTGCCAAGTTCTTTAACTAGAATGCATTCTGTCTGAATGGGAAAAAGTGATGTTGAATTCTAGTTTGAACACTGTTCAGGTTTCCTGCAAGTTGACATCATTAGCATTGAGGAAAACTTTCTTAGGTTCTGCCGAGAATAAGCTGCCTCATTGTTTGGAATAACACTGTTTCAAGAATTCAGAAGCAGTTCATAAATTAATTTTGTTTTGCTTCTGTTCATTGTGAGATGAAATACTTGCTTTATTGTTTCTCAAAGTTTTTCACTGTTGATGACCTTGCATTAATGTGGGTGACATACAGTACTGCCTAACCTATGTACTCTAAAGCGTCACATCTCAGTACTGGTTAGCCTAACATAGGGTGTTGATGCTGCTTTAAATAGACTGCCTCAATTAATGTGCTTACTCTGGAAGAACTAATGCCACAGGGAGACGTGAAGGAAAAGGGTAGATATTCCCTCCTCTGAGATATGTGAGGCACTGTACACTTGGTGAAATTGGTATAGAATCTCCAAATTCCAGGTTTAATGGGAAAAAAAAGTATCTTAAATATTTCAAAAATGGGACTAAAACTGGAAGGAAATGAACTTGTAGACTTTTTCAAATGCTACGAAGGATTTTCCTCAATCTTCTTTCCTCAGGAGTTTAACTTCTGTCCTCTTTATTCCAGAAGAGCACTTGAAAATGAGATTCTTCTAAGCCAGAATACTTCCAGTAAAACCAGGAGAGATCCCATTTCTTTATTTCAAGTTTAAGATAAATAAGCAGACTGATATGAAATATGTTGCATAAGGCTTTAGAATAAATTAGCCAGAAATCACTTGATATTTTTGGTAGTACCAGTGTGTTTATAGTAAGTTCCAGACACTCAGGAAAGGAAAACTTCCCTTGAAGACTTTAGTCTGCAAGTGTACTGCCCTTAAGGTTTTCCTCCTCTTTTATGCTTAGTTATTTCTGGGATTGTGGGCTTAATATTTAATCTGTGTTCCAGAGAACCACAGCAGAATGGAATAATAACAGACATCACTCAAACTGTGACTTCACAAGTTGCCAACTGTTGTGTTGACCTGCTATAGAAACGTGTGAGAGGAAGCAGAATATACTATGGGGGCAGAGATGAAACATACCACAGAAGTTAGGCAATCTGTACATTTTTCCAGTTTTAATCTGTTAGGTATAACAGCGTGTGCTCCTTGTGTGCTAGCAGTCTGACACTTGTACCTCTCTTTTAAGCTCCTTGAGTACTCAAAGCTGTAGTTTTAAGGCACAATCCAGGGAATGTGGAAAGGGATGACATAGTGATAGCTTTCTGCTGTCACGTTTCTGCCATCATACTGATAACTCAACTACAGTTGAACTCAGAAAGGGGTCTTGGAAATTTCCATGTAATTAGAGTCCCACTACATTGATATGTTGTAGTGGAAATAGTATGTGGACAGGTAAAATATAACATTTGGGCTATGGTGTTGGGCATCAGTGGAATAGAACAAGCAGTGGAGAGGCAGCACAAAGAACGAGTGGTGGGAAGCATGTGTAAGGTCCTTAAAAAGCAAAGGCCCTAAATAAGTTCAGTGTTTGGAGGTGGCTGCCTGTGGACTACAAGGAAATAATAAGGAAAAAGCATTATTATGTGTTTAGCCTGTATTTAATCTGCAGCTGTTTTAGCAACGTGGTAATATTGCTTGTGGTGTTGGCAAATGTTTTCTGGGTCCGTTTGGAGAAAACATGTTTTGTGAATGAAGGAAGCGTGCAAGGAAAAAGACTACAGGAGGGTTTTTACCAAGAGGCTGGTGTCAGCAGTGACAGTGTGGGAGTGATGTTTTGGCAACAAAGATCAAAACTCCTTATATTCCTATGTCAGTTTGAAAGCAGAAGTTACAGGTGGTAAATTGAAATGGGGTTTTCTGGTCAAAAAGAGCTGTAGCAGTGACTGCTGAGCCTGTTGGTACAAGTCTGATGTCTGGGTTTCTATTGGTGGACAGAGAAAGAACCCAGTGCAGATGTAGGGCTGCAGAGCAGCCCAGGGGCAGATTTTTGAGCTGCTGCCAGATGTTCAGCAGCACGTGTGCTGTCTGTATTCTGTCTGCAAATTGCTCGAGGTATAAATCTTTGTGCTTTTTCTTGTAATGCTGATGTGGAGAGCTTTAGTGTACTGTGACTGAAAAGATGTTAGCTGTAGTTTCGTGTAACTTCTTTGTGGTCTTTAGATCACTCCCTCTGCTATGCTTTTCAAGTGCTTGTAACTTAATTGGAGAAGGAAAACTTCAGGCTTGACATCTGTCCAGGGGAGCTTTCCAAACTATGTGAGCAGTGTTCAGATATTTTGTTTGCCACAAAAGGCTGACAGTCCTCTGTGGGAGGGACGTGATTCAAATGTACAGTATCACAAAGCTTATGGACAAGATGAATGCAAACGGTTCTTCAGCAAAGCTTGCACAAGAACAAGGGGCACAGTCTGAAACTTGGAAGATATCAAAACATCCAAAAATACTTATTTAAAAACTGGATGTTAAATTCTGGTGCTGTCTGCCACAAGGGGTTGTAAAGGCAGGTTCAGGAAGTGGTTAGATGAATTCATGGACAACAGGTCCATAAATAGCTGCTACAGCAATTTTAGATGAAGTGTTACGGAGGGAACAGACTCTGTAAACCAGCAAGGCTCATGTGCTGGCCTTGGATAGCATATCCTTTTGCCACTGGTGGAGATGGGACATCAGGCTAGATGCACTATTCTTTGGACCCATTAGGGTATTTCTTAACTACTTAATTGTTGCTTTTTCCTTGCATAATTTAGATTCATCTGACCTTCAACCTAATTGTGCAGTGTGCTTCCTAGTGCCTCCTCTAGGCATGGAGATGGGTGCAACTTTTTGCATAAGTTAAACTGGTTGAAATAGTCTCCTATGAGTAGTATTCCTCACAGTTGGCTGAAGTACTGAGGTGAATCAAGTCCTGCCCTACTTGGGTCATGTTTTCTCTGCTTGGCCTTTGAAAGATAGCAGGGCTATAACTGGAATAACTTACTGAAATACTTACTGTGCTCCTGGCAAATCCTTGATGTGGTGTAGCCATAGTTAAAAGGCAGAAGTTAAAGCCTCCCAGAATCTGTCTGCAGCTGTGGTGTATGTTCTTTTAAAATCAGCTGGTAAGGTGTGAGAATCAGTGTAATAAAGGACTTGGTGCAGATATCCCATTATCAAACAAACAAAACTTTCCTGTAGAAACAGCCATGGGGTAGCAGATAAACCTGTGCTTTGTGGAAACATCTACAGAAACTAGTAAACATTGATGTGAGGGAGCTGGTTAAAACTAAGTAAAATATCTGGAAAGTTTTGATCAGTTAGGTCTGAACTGACAGACTTTTGAAAATGGATAAAGGGAGATCTTTGCCTCAGAGCATGGCAGAAAAATGTGAGTTGAAATGTAATAGGCTTTTGAAATGTATAGGCTTTCTAAACTTTTCCTGCTGCAACACTTAAATCTTAGTCAATGCACAGTTAAGCAGAAATGCAAGTTGTAGTCTTTGTTTTAAGAAAGCGAATACAGGAAATTATATATAGTTCAGTGATATCTTTTAAGGGAAAGAATACTGCAAGACTGGATACTTCACCTTTAAGGGGTGTTGTAAAGCTGAAAATCAGATAAAAACATTGAGAATGCCTCAAGGGCCTGGAAGAATAGGCAATTTACTGTGGTAAGTGTGACCCTTCCGAAGCTTGTGCTTCATGAGGCTGATAATCAAGGGAGTATTCTGGGACACTGAAAGGTCAAATTTGAAGCAAAAGAACAGGAAATGCTTATCTTGTGTGTCAGTGAGCTCCGTAAACTTGAGGAGAGTTAGCATGTGGATAAGCAATAATATTGGTACTCCATTGCCTGCATCTGTCAGCACTGAATGTAGTATTCGGATATTAAACCATCAACTGCCAGTGTTTGAAAGTGTGGGCTTTGCAGCAAAATAGGCTATCATCCTTTGGTTTGCTCCCTTTGAATTTCTTGCATCTGAAGCATTCAGTGTTGGCCGTGCTCGGAAGCTGAAGTCTCAGTGATGAAGTTCAGAGTAACTGCTGTCCCAGGTCACACCTTGTGCAGCTGGTGGCTGGAGACTCTTTAAGAAACCGTAGCCTGAGTATCCTATTCAGTGTTTAATCTGAAAATGTTGGATATTGGGTTTATTAGTCTTGTTTTCTGTAGTCAGGGCTACAATGTAATGCTTTTACAGTCTGATGTATTGGCCACAATTCCCTAATAATTTAACGCTTTTGAAAGAATTAAAGCTCTTTTCGTGTTACAGTTTTGCATGAAAACGAATGCCTTGATTTAGGATAGGTTATTTGAATCACTTCCATAAAGTGACTGTTTTTATTCTGAAGTCCCTGTTAATCAGAACCTCAATCTCCATGAGCCTGAACCACTACAATCCTTGCTTTGGTCATATTTTCAGGTGATCTCAAAAGCTGCTTCACTGAGGTGTAACTTAGTTGAAACTCTAATGTCCTTCCTACTGAATGCTCTGTTCCATGGAAGTCAAAAAGTTAAGATTTAAAGCTACCTGTGGAATATAATTTAGCTTTTGGTGACTTGTCTTCACAGTTTCAGCAAGAACCAATGTGATAAAGCATGAATTACCCAGAAATAATGTAGCCTGAAGTATCCCAAATGAACCATGCTGTTTTGCAGGTAGGAAACATCAGTTAAGTGAGGCTGTATGTTTTGAATAGAAGTGAGGAGTGTGCCTGCTCAGGACAGGGATGCACATGAGCTGCCTTGAAAGCTCTGATCGAGTAGCCTGAAGGTAGCCTTAGTGCTTCGCTAGAGCAAGGTATTTTCAGCTGACTAAACTAACTCATGTAGTTAAGTGTGCTGAGGTTTTGAAGTAAGGTAACTTTCTGGAATTCACATACCTGGAACAGGGGAATAAGCTCATCGCCAAACTTGAGTGAATTTCATATCTGTGTTCCCAGTGGCACAAAAAGTGGTAGTTATTTAAATTGTAACAAGATGAAAGAAAGGCTTGCCAAATGGTTGGCTGCTGAAAGACTTCTGTCAACACTCATAATGATTAAATGGCACTCCAAACACAGTTCTGCTTGTTAAGTTAATTTGGAGATGGGCAGCATGTGCAAATCTGGGTATGCAATTTGTCGGTCACTTGTGGAAAACTTTAGCAAATGATTAAAACCAGCTCAGCCCAGGTGCAAAGCTAGATTCAAGTAAGTTAATGTTTTGTAATTTCTGAAGTAAACTTTAGCCAGGAAAGATGTGAGGGAAAAACTAGGTGTCTGTAGCTAACTGCTGGAGTGACTGTAGAAAGTTTGTCCTTTAATTTCATTGACATAGTAACAAATGCGCAGACTAGTACTGAACTGTTACCTGATTTGTTTTGAGATGCCATGTCCTATGGCATTTGATAGTGAAAGGTCCTAAGCAAGGTATGTGTCTCGTGAAACCTCAGTGCTAATGTCTGTTTTGGTTTGTGTTTTTAGGGATCAGACGGGGATCACTAATTTATTGCGTGCTGAGTGTTCTGTCTGGTGAAAGTCATGTCATCCATATTGCCATTCACTCCACCAGTTGTGAAGAGACTTCTGGGGTGGAAAAAATCTGCTGGTGGCTCTGGAGGGGCTGGTGGTGGTGAGCAGAATGGTCAGGAGGAAAAGTGGTGTGAAAAAGCAGTGAAAAGCTTGGTCAAGAAGCTAAAAAAAACAGGACAGCTGGATGAGCTTGAGAAGGCAATTACCACTCAGAATTGCAATACAAAATGTGTGACGATACCAAGGTAAGTGCTGTTGTGTTTGAAGCTTTTATAACCTCTTAAACTAAACAGATGTCTAGGCTGTCATGTGAACAAATAATCAGTTGTATGCTTTTGATTCATTTAAAAATTCTTTAAAGCCTGTTTTGGGTTTATGTATCCCTTGATTCAGTTCTTAGAACTGAACCACATGCTTTGTCAAGTCACAATTTTTAGTAATAACTTTACATTTTGTTTGTTACTAACTAGATTCCAATTTGTATGTGTTCTGGTGGTGACTCACATAGCTCTTAGTTCATAACACTGCCTTATGCTTTTATTGGATAACACTGTAATTGGAGGGGCTTGTTTGAAGCTATGCTTCTGCTTCAGGGGAAAAAAAAAAGACTAGTTTTTCCTTGGTCAACACTTCAGTCAACTAATTATTATTTTCAGTTCTATATGCTAGTTCTGTTTAAGTTCTACAAGTTGCATCTGTTTTCCCTTTTGAAGGGAAACTAGCTTTGGAGGCAGGTTGTCTGAAGACTTATTTACTGTAATTATTATGTCATTGGTTAACGGAAGTGCTTTTCATTTAACTTGAAGTATTTCTAGAACTTCTCTTCTGCTCCTTACGTGTGTGTATATATATTTAGATGAATGGCTTGCATTCTGCCCCTTTGACTTTCTCAATTTAATTCATAGCAACTGCTGTGTGAGAGGCAAGGGTTGTGTTTGTAAGTATAATGCAACGTGCTCTAGATTCATGTTGTACAGAATTCCCACTAAAGGTGCTCATCAAGTGTACTCTGTAAATATCAAATCATTCTACAGATGTTTTGTCTCTCTATGAAATTGCTGGAGGATCTGGTGACACAGGAATATTCTGGGCACTCAGTCCCTTGACATATGTCGTAGTTTGTAAAGGAGAGAAACTGCATGTGTTTATGACCTTAATTTCTGTATTATTAGCACGTTGGTCCCAGTGAGTTTTAAACTTTATATTAATCTTGGTGCGTGCTACATTTGACCGGTGGCAGTAATGACTGCTACCTATCAAATATGTTATGGCTGTTATCTGATAATGATTTTAGCATTCTCCTTTAGATTTGACATAACTTTCTGGGAAAACCATACATGTGTTCTGGATCAATGACTACTTTAGAAACAAAAGAAAGGGAAGAATTAATGTTGCATTCTGCTTGTATCTTCTCCTTTGGAGCAGTCCAACAAACCCAGTTTGTTGGGTTTCCCTTCTGCTTTCTTTTGTCAGCTAAGAAGTGAAATATTTGTTGGAGTTTGTGTATCAGTAGACTAGGATTGGAGCCTATTAGGCTAAATACATAAAGCCATTTCACAGAAATGTATCCAAGTCAAAGTAATGGCAAAGACAAAATGCTTAATTGGAAGATTTTTCATGTTACAGAGGATATAGATTTATACAAAACATGTATTTAATTTATAGAGTTCTTGGAGCAAGCTCATAGAGCTTTCCTGCAAAGGTACTAGGCAGTAAACATTGCTACTTCAGGATATTTAAACAAGTATGCCTGTGATGACAGTATTCAAAGGCACAAATAAGATGCCAGTATATCATTGTTTTCCTGGTCTTCTTGCTGTCTGTATTTGGGTGGCTCCTCCTGGTTGCACGGCTTTTGAAGTAGTAAATAATTCCTTAAAACAGAATGTGAAGCTCAGTTACACTCCATATAGTCTTAGTGTTGTGATGAGCAGTTCTTGCTCAGGTATGCTGTTACTGTTGTTATTCAGTTGAAAAAGGGCTCACTGAAATTTTACTTTTCTTGGCTACCTTATGAGTAAGATGGGAGCTAGACAGCTCTTCGAGTGCTGCCTATTTCACAAGGTTTAACACAAAAGCCATTTGTTAGTTTAAAATTAATGGGCAAGATGATATCAGGGTTGCAAACAGTGCTGTACAGAATTGAGTTTTGAAGTTGGCTTTTGGACTATTGATATTTTCATTTTGACAGCAGTAGTCTGGGTTCCCAAGAAAGAACAAATGTCAACTGAGTACTGTAATGATTTCTGGAGATTTTTGTTCTTGGATTTAGTAAGTTAATAAAACTGCTGCTTGAGACTCACTTTAATGAATATCTTAATCTGTACATCAACAGGGATGAACAATAAATGACTGACTTGCTAACATGGAAGGAAAAAAAAGTTTGCAAGAAGTTTGGTGTGAAGTTGCTGAGATGCAGTTCTGACATGAGTGAGAGGGCTTTGGGTGTTGTTTTTTTTTAACTAGCTTTAGATTTAATTCTTGATACTGTTTAACTCAGCTTATTAACAAGTGTTGTGAGATACCTCTTTCTGCAACTGTTGTGTTATTCCCTCAAGAGAAGTTTCCCTTGTGGTTTCACAAGTTTCTGGTCCCATTGGAAATATCCATCAAGGCTAATACAATACTTAACTTGTTTGTATTTTCATTGCTGAAACCTGGAATGGATAAACATGTACAAGCTTTTCTCAAAACTGAAAGTAGCTTGAATGAAATTGATAAAACTGCAAAGATCTGCATATACTTTGCTTTTGATAATCTGCTGTGATTAGATTGGCTCTGTTTCTGTGCTGTTGGTCAAGGTGACCACACACTGAGGCTGATGCTATTCAAGCTGCTTGTGTGGTAATTAACACAGCTTCTTACACAGACTAATAGAGATTGTGAGAAAGCAGAAGCAAACAGATGGGGTGGGTGTTGGCATCACACAGCAGGGATGCTTAGCTCTTCATAAGTGGGTCAGTAATCTAGAGCAGAGGCTAAATAAGTACAGAGGTCCTTTTGACAGTAGCCCTCTAATTTGTAGTTATCTTGCTGAATCTTCCCAGCGAGCCAGTAGGGTTCTAATCTCATAATCCCTGCGTATCCTCAAACTAAATGTTGGTTCTTGAGTTCACTTTTCTAAGGTATGTAATGAATTCGGTTTCATTTAAGATTGTCTTCATGCTCTCCCTTGCAGTTTTCATACAAAATGGAGCACCAGAAGCAGTCAGTAAAGAAACAACATGAGTACTAATTTGTAAGATTTCTTCTACCGGAGCAATTTGTTTCTCATTAGCATGGATTATTCTGCTGAAATAAGTACTTTGTTAAGGGCTTGGATTTTAGTTACTGCTATTCACAAACAAAACCATGCCATGCAGTGAATAATCAACTGATATTTATAGTCTATATTCATTGTTTAAAAAGTCATTTCAGTGGTGACAGTATGTAACATTGCAATTCAAAGTAGGGAAACAAATCACTGGCTTTGGCGTTGCAGTATTTTCATGGGATCACTTGTCTCTTCTGTCTTTATGCTTGGGGGCTTTTATTTTTTTTGGTTGTTTTAGACTTGCTAAAATGATTTCTGTAAAATACCGAATAACATAAGTAATGTCAACAGAGATTAGGTTGAACAGGTTTTGGGTAGCAATGACTGGGGTTCTGTAGATTTTTTTAGTTAAAGACAAGGGGGGGGGGGACTAGGGGAAGGGTAATTGCTTTATTGCTATATTGCTTTGTGATGCCTCATTCTCTAGAGCATATGTTTCTGAAAACTAATGCAGAACTAAGTCCTTCCTGAGTGTTACATAAGTGCATGCTAAATTCTGCTGCTATGCCAACACTTGGCTATTGTGACAGCTCTAATAAGGTTTTATATGAAGGTTGTGTAATAAAAGATGACCTGTCAGTATTGAGCACTCCCCAGGCACACCTGTGTTCCTTCTTTGTTTTATGTTGTAATCCATTCGCTGTCCCCCAGCAGGTCCCACCTTGTGTTGTGCCTGCTTACCCCCTTGCTGGACCCACAGAGTGCTGCTGCATCTCCTCGCACTGCTGGCAGTTCTGTTGCTGGCACAGTCTGCATGGTGCAGTGCTGAACAGGGGCAGACCCTGATATAGCTCAGTGCAGAGCTGCACTTTATTTTTGTCCTATATGGAGGTGGATAAAGAAGAAACAGGTGCCTCCCATCAATCTCAGCATCTGTAGTCTTCATTTTAGTTTTGCGTAGTGAGTGGAGCTTTTGTGCGTGCCCTGACACGGCTGTTGCTGACTGGGAGGAGGAGGCACTGAAAGATGCATCTATAACGGTATACCTCTGTTTCTTCTTTCCAGATGTTTGTGTGTGTCATGGTTTCAGTTAGGACAGAGTTAATTTTCTTCCTAGTAGCTGGTAGAATGTCGGGTTAAACCACGACAGTATGCTCACTCAGTACTCTAAAACAGTTTAATACAGCATCGAAGAACTTCATGGTTCTAAGTTAAAAGAACAAATGTTCTTATTGAACAGACAAATTTGTGTTGATGTTAATGGTTATATTACAGTTAATATGTAAGCTTGCTTTTGATACTGTGTATGAAACAGTACTTAACACTTGAATCTTGGTTTTAATAAGAGATCTTGAGTTTCTGCGGAGGAGGTAAATCTTACTACTGCTTGATAGTAGAGGAATCTCTGGCACAAGAGAAAAATGATGTTAAATATCAATGGAAAAGTGATGTGGCAGTATACTGGCTGAAGTAAGGTTTTAAGACCAACTTCTTTAAATCCCTATTCAAGGATTCTTTTCTAGGGTGCTTTAGAGTCTTAAGTGCAATGAAGCACTTGCTCCCAGTGCAGAGGGAAGGCTGATATTCCTGTCAGACCCTTGCTTTCCATCCTGCTCTGCCATTAGAGTTTTAGAAGGTGCTATCTGCAAAACAGTTGTTCTTGCTTAAGTTTGATATGAATGTGGAAAATGTAGTCTTATCTGTGTCCTCTGCCCTTCTTGCTCAATATAAGGGATAGCATCCCTCTGTTATGTTTCCTGATTTTTCAGAAGCTTGCTTTGGCTTTTTTCAGCAGCCTCCGAAATCCTGCAGTTGTTTTGAAGAGTGTGGCTGATTTATAGCCAACAAGTAAACTTCTAAAGCACCTGGCTTCTGCTTCAAATATGAGGTGAATTCTGTGTCTTTACCACTCAGGCAGAGAAGACCCCCCCCACCCCCCAGTGGACTCTGGTTTTGGGAATATAGAAGACTTCAAGGGAGTATTGGATAAAA